GAAGTGTAGGCGTGGATTTTTACTACTCTCCCAAATTGCCTGAACGGAATGAAGAAATATAGGGACTCATTTATCAAAGGGAAAAAGGGTTTACATACCTCAACGGCCGATAATAACCTCACTTTCAGAAATTTACACAACAATCTATTGGTTTTTCAGGAAACGTTCCAGTTGGCACAACTACTCACTTCTCTGGCTAGTTAAATTAATATAATTTTGGGCCCGATGGCCAAGAATGAAAACCAAAGTTTTTGGATTTCTCCAGAGACGACCTTTTCAGTCTAACTATAAAATCGAAAAGAAAAGTCCAAAGTACCCCTGTGGTTCTGTCTTTCTTCCTCCGTCCAGCCTGTCGAAATTATAAAAATGACAGCGCTACCGGTTTTCAAAAAAATAACCCTAGTTAGGTTCGGAGTTGGAGTGGAGTGAATAAAACTAACCCTAATATGGTAAAAAGCAGTACCAGAACAGCTGGAGAGCGAATGAAGTCACTCGAAGTGTACGGAGTGAGCAAGCCGAACGCATCTCTCAATAACATAATTTTCGTTATTAGGTTAGGAAACTAGTCAGAAAAATCATAGATGTCGCCAGGTGTACGGAATAGTATTTTAAACTTAGAGCAGATAAAGACATAAGGAGTAGGAACGCGCTAGCTTTTAAACTTTAAATGAGTTCTTAATATATGAAATTAATTAAGAACAATTAAATATGTTCTTGTGACATTTCAAATGTTACATAATATGTACCTAGAATCATTAATAAAACTATAAATAGTAGATTATACTACGAGTCAATAATGATAGCTATTATTCCCGAGGAATATTTACGAACTGAGTCGCGTTAGCGGCGAGGGACTAACATTCCGAGGGAATAATAGCCATTATTGCGAGTAGTATACTCTACTTTATTTACGACAAATTAATTTATTTGAGATTTTCTTTTTAAAAACGCTCGTTGTTCATCCATCTCAATACAAATACACAAGTACTACGCGTTTGACACTGACACTTTTTGAGTTTGTTCATATTGTTTCCATGGTCTTATACTTGTTTTAATTTGAGAAACTTTGTGTTGTGATTGGTGTGCAAGCGGGAAGAATGACCATTAATCCCTGCGGGAATAATATACGGCATCATATTGCCAAAATCACAAGTATAATGCTTACATTATATTAGTCGTAAATAAACATGTTTTAAGAAATAGCCATGCATATTTTTTGTATTTTAACTTGATGGGGGCGGCGGACAATACATTTGCCTAGGGCGCCAAAGTCGCTTGCGTCCACCCTGATTTTAGAAGAAGATGCGGATACACTTACTGCTCACTGATTGACAAATGGAAATTGTCATAAAATACCTGTAGGTCGCATTTTGACATGACAATTGAATAGAAGCCGCTGATTGGTGAAAAGGTGGAATTCGAGGTGGAATTTATTTTTTTGCAGCGTTGCTAATTTTCATTAAAAATAATCGCTTTCGACGTGTTAGAGAAAGATACAAAATAACACAAGGATTACTAAGTAGTGGGGAGAGATGCGGTTCCTAGGATGTAGTCAACCTATATTATTGTTTATTGTTCTGTCTATCTGTGTTAATAGGTCATTGGAAAATTACATATATGGTTCAAAATAATAAATATTTACAAACTGAAATGGTATGCAAAAATGCAGATATCAAACTTTTGCGCATTAATTTCTCCGAACTATAAAAATGGACATTGGCCCTTTTAATACCCAGGTCCAGCTATGCTTTGGCTTTAGATACACTACTAAACATCAAATTTTGGTAATGAAATCTTCAAAATGCTATAATTCGAAAACAAAATTACGGATTTTCACGAGCGCTTCAAATTCGGAAAGCCTATTACATGTAGATTTTCTATGAGCTTAGAAATTTACGCAAGGTTTCAGTTTTAAGATTATACCAGAATACAAAAAAATTAAATCACCAACGGTACGAAAAATCTCGCCGGTGGTGTATGGAATCCTTTATAGCAATAAGTTTCCATAACAACGATGGACTAATGTTTTCATGGAGCCCTATTTAACATGAAACTATATGGCATGACATTTTGTGTCAACTCTAAATTTTATCTTGTATCAGTTACAGTCTGTCGATTTTTATATAATTACTAGCTAATGACCCGCTGCGTTGCCAGCGTGAAAATACATTTTGAGATAATACACTTTTTTTCAAATTTTGTTGTTGATTTTCTATTTAATTTTTTTTTTTTAATCCGATACCAGAATCGCTTGCCAGTGAGTTCAGTGACGCATTTTAGGCACTCCAGAGCTGCTCTAGAGCGCCCCGGGCTGTTTATAGGCATTCCAGTGTATCAGAGTTTCGCGCAACCGAACTTTTTTTTTCGGGATAAAAAGTAACCTATATCACTCTCCTCTATAGCCGAATTCGATTGACCGGATTAGATCGATCTGGTTCAATTTAAGTGAACCACACTGTGTTCGATTGAGGCTGGATCAGTGCACCCTCATCAACAAAAAAATGATCTAGATCAGAAGTTGACTTAAATTGAACCCAAATCGATCTAATCTGGGTCAATCGAATATAACTTATATAGAGATACGTGGTATTAAATTCAAGATCGGTCCAACCGTTCTCGAATTCAAAAAATAATAAAGTTACGTTGATTGAATGTTGAATGGCAAGCCTAAATAAATGAAATATGGCAACGTCGGGTAAGTGTTTCTAAGTACAGGTCACAGGTACAGCTACAAGTCACAGGTACAGGTACAGGTATAGGTACATATCAAAATACAAAACAATATTCTGTCACACAAGTTTAACTGATTGTGTTTGATACTAATTTGATAAAAGAACATCGTGTTGAGTAGAAAACAAAGCATTGTATGCACCACGGGGATTATTAGATTATAATGCCCTTCAGGCGAAATATATCCGTCGGGCCAGAGGCCCTCGGGCTAGTTTCACCTTCGGGCATTATAATCTACATAATCCCCTTGGTACATAAATAGCTATTTTGCCAGTGTCACACAAACGAAATTTTTGCTTTTTTGCATGACATTGTTTATCACCCCGTACCTCATGATAATAGCTTTCCCACCAAAAATGTGTGATTTGCAGCCTAATCTAGGAGAAACGCGTTTTGGAAAACCGCAAACCGCGTTCAAAAATATTTATTTTTAAAAAAGTTGCAGCTGTTTAAAAATAGGGCAAAATATTGAATGGACCGAACTTAATGTTGACGGGTTTAGTAGAAGACAGACAAGAAATATTAAAAGTTGTGGAATCTTTCTATAGAGATCTGTACGAATCCAAAATAATAAACAAGAGAAGACAAAATACGAATAGTAAATGCAAACTCAGAAGAAATGCCCGACATAAATATGGAAGAACTGGAGAAAGGGTTATCTCAGATCAAAAATGGTAAAGCGGCAGGAGAAGACAACAACCTGCCTGAAATGCTCAAGGAAAGCGATACTAAGACGAGACAAAAACTAGTGAAACTATTCAATAAGTATACCTAACAGAAGAACATATACCCAAAAATTGGGAGAATGCTGTAGTTGTTCTGATCTACAAGAAAGGTGACCCGACTGATCTCGAAAACTACCGGCCAATAAAATTACTATCACAAATATATAAATTATTCACTAGAATAATCACCAACAGATTAGAGCGAAAACTCGAAGTTTACCGACCGAAGGAAAAGGCTGGATTCCGAAGCCATTATAGCACGACAGAACATCTACACACAGTAAGGCAGATGATAGAGAAAGCTACAGAATATAATATAAACCTATGGATGGCTTTTGTCGATTTCCGAAAAGCCTTCGACACAGTAGAAATCTGGGCAATAATAAAATCTTTGAGAAATGCCAGAGTGGATCAACGTTATATAAACCTCATTGAAAACATCTATAGCATTTTGACAAAGTCGATAAGACTTTATGAATCATCTAACAGAATAAACGAAAAAAGAGAAATTCGGCGGGGGGACGTAATATCTCCAAAACTATTCACTTTATAGTGCTCGCGGATATTTTCAAAAGGCTACAATGGGAAAACAAAGGATTGAACATACATGGTGAACGCCTGCACAATCTAAGATTTGCTGATGATATTGTACTATTCGCAAAAGACAAACAGGAATTGATAGATATGTTGGAAGAACTGCAGGATGACCCAGTTTATTACAAATACACCAGATGCAGACGGAACAATACCGATTCATGACAGCACAATAAAAAAGACAGAAACATACATATACCTTGGCCAAGCTATAACACCGGGCAAACAAAATCAAGAAATGGAAATTGATAGGAGAATTAGACTGGGATGGGCGGCTTACGGCAAATTAAAGTACATCTTCAGCATGAATATCCCAATGACTTTGAAATCAAAAGTCTATAACGAGTGTATACTGCCTGTTGTCACGTATGGTTGCGAGACCAGGGTAATAACCAGAAAAATTACACAAATTGGAAGTACATCAGAAAGCCATTGAAAGACGAATTTCAGGAATTTCCCTGAGAGACCACAAAACAAATACATGGATAAGGGAAAACCAAAGTCTCCGATATAATAAAAAGAATTGGTTTCCTAAAATGGCAATGGGCAGGACACGTGGGCAGACATACAGAAAACTGGAGCGGGTATATCACTAGATGGAGACCTTGGGAAGAGAGGAGAAGTGTTGGAAGACCCCAACAAAGATGGTACGACGAAATAAAGAAGGTTGTAGGCTTAAATTGGTATCGAGCTGCACAAAACCGAAGACAAATGGTCAAATTTTGAAAGAGGCCTATATCCTAAGGATAGAAAACGGCTAAAAATGGAAAAATGGAAAATGGAATGTATCTTCGCGTGCCTTTCCACACGAGGATGCTCAGTTAATTTTTTTGGAGGTGACAAATTGTTAAAGTCGCTAACAAAAAGTGAGATCATCGATTTATATGGATTTGAGTATGTTTTATAATATGGAACTTGTATCTAACTCTCACGATACAGATACGTACTTACCGCTCAAAAAGTTCAAGTTTTATCGCTAAGTTTGTATCTTTTATATGTTTTTGCACTCCATTTTTCAATTTTGTCCAATTAACCTTTTTCTGAGGAACATTCCAACCGTAAAATTCGGACTCTGTAAGATGTTCTCCCAACAAGGCGGCAACATGAAAAAGCTTCTTGGGAATGGATCCGACGTTTATACAGGTTCCTCCGATGCTCCATCTTGTACCTAAGGGCGTCGCTTCCACACAGTTTACAATCGCTACTCTCGCGCCATGTTCGTTAGCTTCGATTGCTGCAGCTAGACCTGCAACGCCTGCTCCAATAACTAGTAAATCATAGTCGAATTCGCACAGCGGCACTGTTGAGTAGAAAAATACAATTACCCGTTGTTGTTTGTTAAAAAAAATAACGTAAGTCAGGGATAGTATAAATGCCAAGTCCTGAAATAAGATCAAGAATTGCGGCTTGTTGACAAAAATCTATTTTCATTGTTTGCAAAGATATTCTAAACTTGCGTCCATTTCCTGAATGTATCTACTAGGCCAGCGGCCAGAGAAAAGGTTAAACGAGTTGACAACACTCATGCATTCCAACAAACGCTATTCAAAGTTAAAAGCAAATTATCTCCAGTAATGAGGTGTCTAACCTACCAAAGTAAAATTCGGATGGATCGAGGAACTCTGAGCAAAACCTGTTATTGTTTCTACTACAATTTTTTTTTAAAGATGTAAATTTTCTTCACTTTAATTTAATGCAATGGAGATATTGAGTTTTGGCTGTGATCTTCTGATACATTTACTTCACCTATAGGAATTTCTTATCATAAGAAAATATTTGTTTTTACCTAAGCATTTGGCATCACATTTCGGTAATAGTTCCGGAATGGCTTTACAACTTTTTGATTTACTACTACTGATTGAGACTTGGGAGTCCTCGTTGGCATTAGCATTAACTTCTCCCCGGGAATTCGTGTTCATTTTTGGCTTTTTTTGTTGGCTAAAATCGTTGAAAACATTGAATACTTTTCCAAATAGAAAAATGACGGCAAATTTAAAGAAGTGACACACGAGAAATCAAAACAATAGACGATTTCGCTACGTTCTGGTACTCCATTTTGGGTGGTCAAAAATGTATACCTACTCTGTTCCATTTTTTTTTGCATGGGGGGTTTATTTGATGCAACTTTGCTACACGCAAATAACGTCATTTGCGATTGACAATTGGTGCACGGCTTATGCCCACTTGCACCAACCGCAACTTAAATTGGTCTTATCTAAGTCAGGTCTTAATTTTAAGTTAGCCTTTAATTTAATTTACTTGCACCATAGACAAATTATGTCGACTTGACAAAGTCGGACTTAATAATTTGGGGCGATGGCAACGCTGCGAAATCCTCTTCTTTTTCAATTTAGCCATAACCCCCTACACAGTTTGTTGAAGTTTAGCCAAAATTTTCTATTTTTAAAATAAATAACCAAGAAATAAACAGACCGAAGTCTGACGAAAGTTGACAAATATTTAGTATTTTGTGGTTTTTCGATGTTTGGGTTAGAGCAGTGATTGAGAGTTTGAGCAATGGAAAAACCAAATTCTAAAAAGCAGAGGGGTGCGAATTTTACACTAGCAGAAAAGGAGGCCTTAATTAATATAGTGTCAAGATTTAAAAATATTATTGAAAATAAAAAAACTGATGCTCTATCCATTCATGAAAAAAACGAGGCCTGGGAGAACGTATGGAGGACCTTCAATGCTGCTTCACCGGGCATGAGAGAGAGAAGTTTGGATTCTTTGAAAAAATATTATAAGAATCAAAAAGAGGATCTACGTAAACGTTTGGCAAAGGAAAAAAGTGAGATATTCAAAACCGGAGGAGGTTTGCCACCAACGTCGGCATTGAAAGATCCAATAGATCAAACGTTAATTTCCATTATTAATCAAAAGTCTCTACAGGGCGTTGAAGACAAAATAGCTCCATACGACGACGATTACATAGAGCCGCCAATCGATTTTGATAAAGAAGAAAATTCTCCAGAAAATTCCCCCATAATCAGAAGAGTAAGTTATGTTTTCCTATTCTAAAGTTTTATTGCAGCAAGTTAAATTTGAATCAATTTTTACTGGATTTTTAGATTCAAATGTAACGTGAATTCGAAAATCAAAACAGTAGTGTCTTGAAAAAATCAATTCCGCGGCTTCTTAAATCTCGACCACATCCTATTTTAAAATCTACACAGGCAAGTAACCATTACCTAATAAATGTTGGTACTTATTTCTACGTTTTTGTCCTAGGTATGTGATAGTCAGAATAGTAGCAACATTGAATTTATTAGAGAAGATTCTCCAATACGAACTCCAAATCCAGGAAAAGGAAGCACCCCTCTAAAGAAAAAGCAGGATAATAAGAAGGTAAGTTAGTTCATGGCTTGTATGACAGCCCAGCAAGAAACAGCTTGTATAAGTTTGAACACCAAGACCCGAGCCAAGACCTTGGAGGCTTGGTTCGTAAACTGTATTCTCAAAAACAAAACTGTATAGTAAAACCGAGAGTACAACCTTTGGTGCATACAAGTTCTTTTTTCTCCAAACGTCAGAAAAACGTCACTTTGTTAACTCCTGTCAAGATGTCAGAATAGTTATTTAAACAACAAGTTTTGAAAACGACTTTTTTCGCACGGCGAGACAGTTTGTTGGACCGAGCCGTAGGCGAGTTCCACAAGTCGAGCAAGTGTGAAAAAAGGTTTTCAAACGAGTTTTTTACAATGCTTTTCCTACAACTGCAAAATAAAACAACCAAATATGTAATTTCCATTTGTTAGAAAACTTGAAGCGTGTGAAAAACTCTTTCGCACGCTGAGGAGCGTGTGAAAAACTTTTTCGCACGCTGTGCGAAAAACTCCAATTTCAGAGGTTGCCTAGCGTGCGAAAAACTCCATTTTCAGAGGCAGTCGTAGGAAAATTTGATTTCTATGCTGCTATGCAAATCCAGCGGGTTAACACCTGTCGAGGTGGTAGAAATTTAATTTTTATGCTGCTTGGCAACCCCAGCGACAGCAAAAGTACTTTTAGTGCCGCTGGAGCGGCAGTAGAAGTACTTTTAGTGCCGCTCGTACTTTTACTGCCGCTCAACGATTCACTTGCCCCCGAGCTTACCCCATTCGTTTGGAGAAAAAATAGCGTGTTGCATACGGAGTAGAAGCACTTTTTTGTGCTTCAGTAGTATTTGCGCAAACCTACCGCTTCAGCACAAAAAAGTAAAGCTTCTACTCCTAATACAACAATATACTATTTTCTCCGAATGACAGTAAAAGCGGCTTTTTAATGACACTTGACAGGATCAAAAGTTGTATTCTCACTGCCTAGGCAGTAAAAGTCCACTTTTACTGCCTAGGCATTAAAAGTGACAGTGTCGCAACGTTCCAGGTAATAATTTCACTCAATTTCGTATTTGAAATTGATGGTGACAATGATAATTGTCAAAATAATTTAATTATTTGGATAATAATAATGAATGAAATAAATATAAAAAAGATGTTGACGTGTGAATTTGAACATTCGGAAAAAAAAATTATATGTTTTACATGGCAGAAAAGCATATTTAATACCTCGGCTGGTTTCCTAGCCTCGGCTATGAAACACCAGCCGCAGCATTAAATCTTGTACTTTTCTGCCTAGTAAAACAAATAACTATTGTGATACTTTCAAATAATTATTATGCTGAATGAAAACGTTACAGAAAAAAAAATGTACCTAAACGTTATTTATTTTCTACATATTATGTAGACATGACTGAAAACATTTTCCAATTTGCAAGAAGTGTACTTACGACCCTCTGTATATAAATAACTATTGTTTGTTGCAAGAATAAATCTAATAATTTTCAGCAAATACCTTCTACTCCAAATACTCGAAAGGATACTTCAAGAAAAAGGCCCACAGTAGTTAGAACACTAACTTCTTCCAAACTAGGTGACATGTACGAAAAATTGATAGAAAAAAAAAATGGAGCTTTTAGAAGGTTTAAAACAAGAACATGAGATAAGGCTGGAAAATCTGAAACTGGACAAGCAAATTAGGTTAATCGAGTTGAAAAATGCCAAAGAGTCAAAAAAAAAATAATACTGTGATGCGTCCTCCTGAAGATATAGATGTTCTAATTGGAGAGTCTGTAGGGTTTATTTAATTTTTTTTACTGTGCAGGTGTTTTGATTTGAAATTTTTCCACTGCTATTAGTTGATATTAGGTATGTTTCTGCAGAAATCACACACCAGTCAGAGTGAATTTCATTGGTTGAAACCAATGACACTAGTTTTCTGACTGTTTTCAACCAATGAAATTCGCTCTGACTGGTTTGTGATTTCTGCAGAAACAGACCTATTATTACTCAACTATAATGTAGGTTGAAAGGGAGGAAATATATCGGGTCTTCAAAAAAAAAAAACCAATCGAAGATTGCTTTGATTACGAAAACGTACGTCGCATTACTGTTTCTTTATTGGTCAGGATTTTTGACATGACATTTTGACATTAAGTTCATTGACAAAATGAAAGAAAAATTTTGCTAAGACATACGTTTGAAAAACCATAGCAATCTTTGATTGTTTTTTTTTTTGAAGACCCGATATGTTTACCGAAATCATAAGTTTTTTATTTGTGTTTCAAATTATTTTAGTTCTAATCTTTCACTTAAAAGGTAAAAAATGAGCATCATTGCTCTTTTTTCATCTATACCCTATACCAAAATAAAACAAATTAGCTTGCTTGAACATCATAACACTTCACTAGAACTATAATGAATCCATATTTTAAATAAACATTGAATTATAAATTTTGGAAGTAATTGACCATTTGGTTCCGAAAAACATTTAGTTGAGCATTATTACCAACATAAGGCTGCTGTGGGATTTCTTCTACATTTACTAAATAGTTGAAGTTTTCCCATCCTTCTTCATCTGGAGGTTCATCTTCATTCAAGTCTCGCGCTATATTATGTAGCACCGCCGTTGCTACAATCATGTTTAATGAGGTTTCCAATTTCAATCTCAAGCCATATGCCAAAACTGGAAACCGCCTTTTCCAGACTCCAAAAATTCTTTCAACTATATTTCGTGTTCTGATATGGGCTTCATTAATTATAATTGTTCACCTCTAGTTTGAGGGTTGCCTAGAGGTGTGAGTAGATAGTTGCTTAACGGGTATGCGCTATCACCTACAATAAAATATAATAATTATCGAATGTAATACCACAAGAGGTTTCAGGATTACCGGATAATATTTTTACCTGTCACAAAACGCGTTACGCAGCACCACCACGACTCCGGAAGAGGAGTGGTGTTGCTGGTAACGCGTTGAGTGTCAGGTAAAAGTATTGGGTAATCCTGAAACATCGAGTGGTATTCAAAAGGTTATACAATCTGCTATGAATATTGCCACCAAGTGTGATAATCCCAAAAGGCTTATCACCATAGATGAACGCGCAAACAAAAACATCAATGTGTATGCAAAATACCGTCGCGTTTTTGAATGTGCAAACGGTAGAAATTTTGTATGCACACTCGGAACACTGTAGCAAGAGTAGCAAGACTACAGTTTGGATAGTTTTATGCGAGCGTCTGTATAAAGACTCCATGCACGATGTTGTTTGCACGTTGATGTATGCACGTATATGTATCAAGCCATCCACGCCCGTGTGTAACCGCCTATACAGAGATGATGATAAAAAAATCCTAAAAACAATACATTATCCATTCGTATCCCATGCTTCATATAGTCCAACACATACCATTTTAAAGTCACGTGATTTTTCTCTATCCTTGTTGAATACATCTCAAACAGCGGTGATAGTAAAATTGCTGTCTAATTATTGTTCATAAAATTCTTACCTGAAATAGAATCCGTCACTGTCATCAATTAGTTTGTCAAAGTTATTTTAGAAAATGATATAACGAACAAACACAGCTAATAATTTTGACTATATTACCCTTTTTCCAACTCAAAAAGATGCAAATAGCAAACG